GAAATGAGTCTGTCGCTTAATCAAACTGTATAAAGTGTGTGTGATGGGTGTGTAAATATGAGAAATACCGTGGACAGCTCTTCTCACCTCAGAAGACTCGACGCTGAAACTCCCTCCCTCGCAGCTCGGTGGAAGTGTGTTTTGGTCACGTCATACATGCATGCGCAGTACCGATCTCTGGTTATAAGTTGCATGCGCTGGTCTTCAGTTACATTTATGCTCAATATTGTACTGAGATGATGTTCTAACCTGTGTAGTAGTACTTTTAAATAGTTAAGTAATTATTGATGAATAAGTAATTGTTTACATAATGGGATGCTTAAGTTATCCAAGTTTCACTCTACATAGGCTATATGAAAAATAGTTTATTTTACATTTTAAAATCACATGATTTTTAAACCTGATTTTGATAGATTAATAGCATGTCCTCACCGCAAGGATTAGTTTTTTAATGCGCGTATAGAGCTTTTTAAAATAAAGCCATTTAATTTATTAATTGTCTCTGTAAATGTAAAGGTACAGTACAATAAGGTCTGTAAACATCTTAAAATACCAGTACACATTCAAGGGAAAATGAAGAATATAAATCTTGTCAGATGTCCAAAAAAAAAGTGCTTAATGATATTTTGCCTGGTACGAGTTCCTTCTTTAATGGCTATACTCATTACAGTGATCTGTAGCCTACATAAGGTTCCTCTTAATTTGCTGTTCAGTGTCTGCAAGACATGTCCATGGAAGCTTGTTTTCGAGTTAAGAAATAAAAAAAGGTAATTGCGACTTTTTATCTCACTATTCTGACTTTTTATCTCAGAGTTGATTTAAAGTCACAATTGCAGGTTATAAATTCAGAAATGTGTGATATTTCAGGTGCAATTGTATGTTAAGTCAGAATTATGAGATACTGTATCTCAATAGGTAAGGTATAAAAATATTATATAGGCTATCATTGATTAATGTTGCCTGGGGCCCCCACTCAGTGTTCACCTCCCCCATTCCCGCAACAATGGAGAATCTCTTTAAGCAGTTGATGTATTCCACTTAACACACAATAAAACAATATACAATATGATTTGTTAACAACGCACCGCTTGGTGTTCTTCTAAAATAAGGTCGAGCCACAAATCCGTGAGTGAAACTGACGACTTTATTCTCGTAGTGTTTCGACTTTAATCTCAAAATATTTTGACTTTAATCTCGAAACTAGAATTGTTTTTTTTTTTTACGCATTTCTTTTTATTTTCTCGTTTTGGTACATATGTGACAATATTACATATTTATTATATTTTTGCTTGTATCATTAAAATATTATAACATTGTTATTTTAATAATAACGCATTATATTTATATTTGAGTTTTTATTTTTAACCTTTAATAAAAATACCAGCTGACAGAACCTTCTGTATGTTTACATTAGTTGAATTATATTTATCTTGAGAAAATAACTATTATAACTAATATTCATCTAATGTACCTAATATTTATCCAAATTAATCAATATTGAATCAAGGTCAGAATCAAATCACAGTATTGTTTTGAAATTGTGAAATTTGTGTCAAGCAATGATAAAAACAGTAGCATACCACGTAAACATTGTAACATGTTGTCACTAAACTTCGGCCACTTTAAACTATGACAAACGCCACAGCGACTACAAAAATCTTGATAAAAGAGAGCTGTTATGGAGTGGTATTGCAGAGCAAATGGACGCCACCTAAGGTAGGCATCTATAGCCGCTTTCCGGAGGGACTTTTGCAGTTCCTAGAACCTAACGTTCCTATAACCCTTTTTTTCTCGTGTTTCGACCGGACTAAATTGGGGATTTTTTAGTTCCTCAGACCGTAGTTCCTATAACTCTTTCAGTACCTAGTCTAGAGCGAGGACTTTTTTTTAGTTCCCTTTCCCTAGGTCTACGTTGATTGGTTAAACTTATAAAAGTCATGCCCACTGTCAACACGGAACTTGTAGCACGCTGCCTGCCATACGCGGTGTGTTTTTGCAAAACATTACATTACTAAGGATTAAGACAAACATAACGCATTGAACCAGCTAATTGCTAATGCTAGCTAAACTTACCCATTGTTTTGTTTGCCTCCTGCGCTCTGCTCTTTTATCTTCTTCCATCATATAACTTAATATCATATTACGCTTCGTCTTCTGTGTTTCTCTGTACAGAACTCAAGCATAATCTTTAAACGCCGCTGTTCGTTCTCCGTTATTAAGGTCCCGGCAAGGCAGAACATTGCAATAATAGCCTCCTCCACGCTGGTTTGTTGTTGTTGTATGTGGCCGGGCTATGTCTAGTGATAAAGACCGTCGCCGTGCTTGCGTTACCCCTCCTACCAGTTCCTATGGCCACTTGGCCAGTGCGAACGCAAGCAGCAAAACCGAGTTTAGGGGAGAGTAGTTCTTAGAACTGTTTAGAAGTGGACAGTTCCTATAACTAAGTTTCTGTAACTACTTGGTCGGAAAGCGGCTTATGTTATTTAGCTATGCGTGTAATGCATGAATCGGTGGGCGGGGCTAAACCGGCCTTGTTGAAGTAGGCGTTGATCTTTTTCTGCGGGGGTGGGTTTTTATCCTCTTTGACGTCATAGTTCCCCACTTTGAAAAACGAGTCGTTTGCTAAGCCTGGTGTCAATAAAAACTTTTATTGGACTAACAAGGACGTTTTCAGTTCTGAAACTTACAGGATATTCTTATAATATGATTACCTCCTAGATGTCAAAAGCTAAATACATGGACATGTATTTAAAGTGTTAGTTCACCCAAAAATGAAAATTTTGTCAGTATTTACTCTTCTGACAATAGCAGGATGCCTGGCCCTGTAGTCGATCAATGGCGACTGCAATGGGCTTCAAGATTCTGGAGAACTCCTCCAGGTAACCCAGTTCGGCGTCTCTGCACTCTTTGGTCTCCCTGATGCTTTCCTCAAGGAAGAACATTTACCCACTGTGGCATTGTTGAAACGGGAGACTGTCTCTCATGGCTGTCTTCGCATCTGTGGTGCCACTAATTGTAAGATGTGGCGTGCACACCTCAAGTGGGTTAGCAAAACAATTCCACTCTCATTCTGCTCTGAAACTGATGAATCAATGCGTACGAAAGACAGATCCTCATTGCCATCTTGCTATGAATGCGCTAATCAGACTGGAGGGAGACCATAGACGTCTTTCCAGCTCTAATGATGCGTAAGTCACAGAGATCGCTGTAAACCAATCACACGTTACGCTTTAAAGCGCGACTAAAAACCATGACTGAACTAAGTTCACCACAGTTCAGTTCAGTTTATAAGCTGTCAGATGAGACCAAACATGGTATAGGTACATATTAGAGCACACTAGTAAATAAACAGTATGTAGTTGGAAGCATATGTCCTGTGAAGCAAATAGTACAGATGTGTCGTCGAGGTGCAAACGACTCTTTCTCTCCCGACAGAACTATCCTGTGACTGGATTGTCCCAACAGTCCTCGATCAGCATAGTGATGAAACCCTTGCACTAGATAGGCATTAGCATACTGTGATGATGAAGGCGATTGTGCCACGTTTAATTCACATGTTTACCTTTAAAGGGATTTCTGAAGTACTAGGACAGTAAAGAGTTCTGGCCATATTTGCTCAGCCCTACAAATCCCTCCTCTGGTACATTGGACCTCAGGAATTATGTGAGGTACATTTGTGGCCTTAACATTTAGGGCTGAGTGCATTGAAGAAGTGCCTCCATTAGCATAGTAGCTCAGAGTAATGATGATAATTGTCATTGTCAAGGATGCTAAGAAGACGCACACAGAGAACACCTACTCCCATCAGGTGTAGGCTTAGTCAGATGCACAACAATGGACACACTTGTCAGGAACTGTCCATATAGCAAGGTTTACATCCATCATTGGCTTTGGCAAGCCGAACAAGATCTCTAGTGTCTGTGGTGGTCTGTTCCTCCTCATGGCATCTTCAACTCTCTGCTGTTCATGTCCCACAGGAACAAGATCTCTAGTGTCTGTGGTGGTTCATGTCCGACAGGAACAAGATCTCTAGAGTCTGTGGTGGTCTGTTCCTCCTCATGGCATCTTCAACTCTATGCTATTCATGTCCGACAGGAACAAGATCTCTAGAGTCTGTGGTGGTCTGTTTCTCCTCATGGCATCTTCAACTCTTTGCTGTTCATTTCCGACAGGAACAAGATCTCTAGAGTCTGTGGTGGTTCATGTCCGACAGGAACAAGATCTCTAGAGTCTGTGGTGGTCTGTTTCTCCTCATGGCATCTTCAACTCTTTGCTGTTCATTTCCGACAGGAACAAGATCTCTAGAGTCTGCGGTGGTCTGTTCCTCCTCATGGCATCTTCAACTCTTTGCTATTCATGTCCGACAGGAACAAGATCTCTAGAGTCTGTGGTGGTCTGTTCCTCCTCATGGCATCTTCAACTCTTTGCTATTCATGTCCCAAAGGAACAAGATCTCTAGAGTCTGTGGTGGTCTGTTTCTCCTCATGGTATCTTCAACTCTCTGCTGTTCATGTCCCACAGGAACAAGATCTCTAGAGTCTGTGGTGGTCTGTTCCTCCTCATCTGCAAACTAAGTATGCAAAGGTTACAACTTTTAAGGGAGTATCAACAAGTAGTAGTTAAGTTGTAACTGTGCATTCACACCAGACGCGAATAGCACGTCAAATTTGTGCCTACAGTGTAGTTATACGCTTGAACACTTGAAATCCATTCGTGCATCAAGAGCGAAAGAGGACGTCGGAATAAAAAACCCATTGGCGGCCATCTTTTTTATGTTGATCGAGCATTCATTGAGAGAGTCACCGCTCTATATTTGCTCTAGAGAGCAGAATAGCGCGTAGGGATCAACGTCGCTGAATTTGGGTCCACCAGACCCTTCGGAAGTGAACCGAGTTTGTCAAGTTCCACCATTTGGCAATAGGGTGATGTGTGGCTAATTTACACAGAAGAGACTTTGTTGTTAAGCACATGAAAATAAACTACTTACAGTGATATCAGACTGTGTTTAAGTGGTTTCTCCACTGTGTGGATATTCTTGTGTTGCTTCAGGCTACTTTTAATAGAGAAACTCGACCCGCACTGATCACACGTGTGCGGCTTCTCTCCAGTGTGGATCCTCTCATGTGTTTTCAGATGTGATGATCGACCAAATCTCTTTTCACAGTGTGAACAGTTGTAAGGTTTTTCTCCAGTGTGGATCCTCTCATGTGTTTTAAGAGATGATGACAGACTGAATCTCTTGTCACAGTGTGAACACTTGTAAGGTTTTTCTCCAGTGTGGATCATCTCATGTGTTTTCAGATGTGTTGATCGACCGAATCTCTTGTCGCAGTGTGAACACTTGTGAGGTTTTTCTCCAGTGTGGATCATCTCATGTGTTTTCAAAGATGATGACTCACTGAATCTCTTGTCGCAGTGTGAACACTTGTAAGGTTGTTCTCCAGTGTGGATCCTCTCATGTGTTTTCAGATGTGTTGATCGACCGAATCTCTTGTCGCAGTGTGAACACTTGTAAGGTTTTTCTCCAGTGTGGATCATCTCATGTGTTTTCAGAGATGATGACAGACTGAATCTCTTGTCACAGTGTGAACACTTGTAAGGTTGTTCTCCAGTGTGGATCCTCTCATGCGTTTTCAGAGATGATAACTGACTGAATCTCTTTTTACAGTGCGAACACTTGTAAGGTTTTTCTCCAGTGTGGATCATCTCATGTGTTTTCAGATTTGCTGATTGACTGAATCTCTTGTCACAGTGTGAACACTTGTAAGGTTGTTCTCCAGTGTGGCTCCTCTCATGTGCTTTCAGATGTGCTGATTGACTGAATCTCTTGTCACAGTGTGAACACTTGTAAGGTTGTTCTCTAGTATGAATCCTCATGTGAACATTAAGGTGTGAAGATAGACTGAAACTCTTCCCGCACTGATCACATGAGAACGGCTTCTCTCCAGTGTGGATCATCATGTGACGCTCAAGACTAGCTTGGATTGTGAAACTGTTTCCACACTGAGTGCAGGTGAAAGATTTCTTTGCTCGTCTTTTCTTTAAAAATGAACTTTTAGTCTTTGAGCGACTCAAGGGTTTTCCTCCAGGTTGGACATGATGTTCCTCCTCCACTTCTCTCAGTTCTTCTCTCTCCTCCTTCACTTCTCTCAGTTCTTCTCTCTCCTCTTTCACTTCCATCAGTTCTTCTCTCTCCTCCTTTACTTCACTCAGTTCTTCTCTCTCCTCCCTTACTTCTCTCAGTTCTTCTCTCTCCTCCTCCACTTCTCTCAGTTCTTCTCTCTCCTCTTTCACTTCACTCAGTTCTTCTCTCTCCTCCTTCACTTCACTCAGTTCTTCTCTCTCCTCCTTCACTTCACTCAGTTCTTCTCTCTCCTCCTTCACTTCTCTCAGTTCTTCTCTCTCCTCCTTCACTTCACTCAGTTCTTCTCTCTCCTCCTTCACTTCTCTCAGTTCTTCTCTCTCCTCATTCACTTCACTCAGTTCTTCTCTCTCCTCCTTTACTTCTCTCAGTTCTTCTCTCGCCCCGCTTTCTTCCATCAGGTCTGACATGAAAAGAAAAAATATTAGATTTAATTTTCAGTACATCAAAATAATTCAAAGAGAGAAATATAAAGTGAAAGGATATGAAAGTGAAACCTGATGTAATAGTAGTAAGTAGACAACTGCTATAAAATATTATGTCCTTAACCCCTCAACTGTCACCGTCCCGGTACCGGGAGGCCTAACTTTACTTCACTATATTTCTATTAAATCTTAATCTAATTATGACAAATTATTTATTGTTGGAAAGGTCTAAGACTTCTAAATACATATTCTACCCCTGTTTAGTGTTACAAATTATGTAGGAAGAGTAATTGATGAATTTATGACAAGAGTGCACCTGAAAAAATCTGCATCATAACAGTAGGTCTGACCTTTATCACAAAAAGTCGATGCACCCACTTTTAATCATTGACACTTCTGTTTTTATGCTCAAAGTTCATAATAAAAAATATAATCTGGTATTTTTCAATAAAAAAAATTATAATATAATATTCAAAAACCCCTTATGAGCAGAATACATTTAAGGACCGTGACGTCACCCGGTATGGCGCAACCGGGGCCCCACCCTGGAGCCAGGCCCGGGGTTGGGGCTTTTATGCGAGCGCCTGGTGGCCGGGCCTCTCCCTACGGGGTCCGGCCGGGCTCAGCCCAAAGGAGCGACGTGGGACCGCCTTCCCGTGGGCTCACCACCTGCAGAAGGAGCCGTAAGGGGCCGGTGCAGAGAGGATCGGGCGGCAGTCGAAGGCAGGGGCCTCGGCGACCCGATCCCTGGACACAGAAACTAGCCTTAGGGACGTGGAACGTCACCTCACTGGCGGGGAAGGAGCCTGAGATTGTGCGTGAGGTTGAGAGGTTCCGACTAGAGATAGTCGGGATCACCTCTACGCATGGCTTGGGCTCTGGAACCACACTCCTTGAGAGAGGATGGACTCTTCAACACTCTGGAGTTGCCCATGGTGAGAGGCGGCGGGCTGGTGTGAGTTTGCTTATAGCCCCCCAGCTCAGCCGCCATGTGTTGGAGTTTACCCCAGTGAACGAGAGGGTTGTTTCCCTGCGCCTACGGGTCAGGGATAGGTCTCTCACTGTCGTGTGTGCCTACGGGCCAAACGGCAGTGCAGAGTACCCGGCCTTCTTGGGGTCTCTGGGAGGAGTGCTGGAAAGTGCTCCAACTGGGGACTCCGTCGTTCTACTGGGGGACTTCAACGCTCACGTGGGCAACGACAGTGACACCTGGAGGGGCGTGATTGGGAGGAACGGCCCCCCCGACCTGAACCCAAGTGGTGTTCAGTTATTGGACTTCTGTGCTAGTTACAGTTTGTCCATAACAAACACCATGTTCAAGCATAAGGGTGTCCACCAGTGCACGTGGCAACAGGACACCCTAGGTCGTAGGTCGATGATCGACTTTGTGGTCATTTCATCTGACCTGCGGCCGAATGTCTTGGACACTCGGGTGAAGAGAGGGGCGGAGCTGAGCTGTCAACTGATCACCACCTGGTGGTGAGTTGGATCCGATGGCGGGGGAGGAGGCTGGACAGACTCGGCAGACCCAAGCGTACTGTAAGGGTTTGCTGGGAACGTTTGGCCGAATCTCCTGTCAGAAAGATCTTCAGCTCTCACCTCCGGCAGAGCTACGACCAGATCCCGAGGGAGGCTGAAGATATTAAGTCTGAGTGGACCATGTTCTCCACCTCCATTGTCGAAGCGGCTGTGGCCGTAAGGTCTCCGGTGCTTGTCGAGGCGGCAATCCCCGAACCCGGTGCTGGACACTGGAAGTAAAGGATGCAATCAAGCTGAAGAAGGAGTCCTATCGGGCCTGGTTGGCTTGTGGGACTCCGGAGGCAGCTGACAGGTACCGGCAGGCCAAGCGGACTGCGGCCCAAGCAGTTGGGGAGGCAAAAACTCGGGCCTGGGAGGAGTTTGGTGAGGCCATGGAGAAGGACTATCGGCTGGCCTCGAAGGGATTCTGGCAAACTGTCTGGCGCCTCTGGAGGGGGAAACAGTCCCCCACCAATGCTGTTTACAGTAGGGGTGGGCGGCTGTTGACCTCAACTAGAGATGTCGTCTGACGGTGGAAGGAATACTTCGAGGACCTCCTCAATCCCGCCGTCACGTCTTCCATTGGAAGCAGAGGCTGAGGGCTCAGGGGTGGACAGGGGTGTACATCACCCTAGCTGAGGTCACCGAGGTAGTCAAGAAACTCCTCGGTGGCAAGGCACCGGGGGTGGATGAGATCCACCCTGAGTACCTTAAGTCTCTGGATGTTGTGGGGCTGTCTTGGCTGACACGCCTCTGCAGCATCGCGTGGCGGTCGGGGACAGTGCCTCTGGGATGGCAGACCGGGGTGGTGGTTCCTCTTTTTAAGAAGGGGCACCGGAGGGTGTGTGTTCCAACTATAGGGGGATCACACTTCTCAGCCTCCCTGGGAAAGTCTATGCCAGGGTACTGGAGAGGAGAATACGGCCGATAGTGGAACCTCGGATTCAGGAGGAACAATGCGGTTTTCGTCCGGGCCGTGGAACACTGGACCAGCTCTATACTCTCTACAGGGTGCTGGAGGGTTCATGGGAGTTTGCCCAACCAGTTCACATGTGTTTTGTGGATTTGTGGAAATTTACCTCTACCAAAGTTACTGTAAGAAGACTCTCTAGAACTATGAATAAATTATATTATATTTGACAAATACAACTTTATCAGTAACTTGGTGTTTAACGATTATGCCTAAAAATACATGTTTCAATTATGTTGAAAATGACAAATTCTGGGAAGGTTGTAGCAAAATTGGGAACCAGATATAAAATAACTGTAAAAATAAACCAGCTAAAATAGTATTGTTGAAACAAACCCAGAAAATTCTGTATCATTTCATAGTTTAGCTGTTTATCTAAAAGTGCTTGAATGTTTCTAACATGAATGTTCTCCAGCATCATGAATGAATGAAGAGTAAACACCAACCTCTTTGTTCTTCAGGATCTTCAGTGTGTTTCATTCTGCAGGGTTCTGGATCACTCATGTTCTCACTATCCTCTTTAATAAACTCAGTCTTTGCAGATTTCAGCTCTTCCTGATGCTTTCATGTTCGTCTTCACTTGTAGCTGATGAGAATTTACAGCATTTATTGGAGAATTGCAGTGGGAGGAGCTTCACTGATGATGTGATTGAGTGGGGGGGGCTTCACTGATGATGTGTTCCAGTGTTGGAGGAGCTGATCTGCCCAAATCAAAAATATTAATTTCTAAGTTTTGTTTTAATAATAAATGACGTTCTAAGCATTTGTGTCTGTTGATCTATTCATTGTACAGTAACTGATGCCAATTCATTAATTATTTATATTGCTAATCCTAACATTATTCTGCTTCTTCATGAAAATACAGGTATCTAGAAATATAAAAGAATACAATAATTTAAATTATTCCAAATATAAATGATGGTAAGAAAAAACAGTTAAAATCATAAACAGAAATAAACTTGTAGCTAGTGCTGTAGCGGCGTGTCGATGACGTCGATGATTCGACGTCAAAATTGCGTCGACGTCATATTTTTGCGTCGACGCTTCTTTATTTATTTATTTTTTGCATGTTCCCGGCGGTACAGCTTGCCACACACACGTGGGAGACCGAAACATTGCAGAATAGAGGACGAAGACAACTAGAAGTGAATGTGCTATCCATTAAATGAATCACACACAGTAAACAAACCCTTAAGAAAAAAAATTGCAATTTTGATGCGCAAACTGGGTGCCGGTGTGGATACGTACAAGCTCGGGCAGATTCGGCTTGAAGTCGTTCCCGGACGCGGCGCCGCGCTTGCTGTTACAAAAAAAGCCGTACACACAGCCAGCCACAGTCTTCCTGGTCTTGCGCACCAAAACGCGTCATTTTTGCCGTGCGCACATTCGCGCTTGTGCGGACGTGTCGAGTATAAACAAGGCTTTACTCCGTGTCAGCACGCGCTCTGATCAGTAGGTGCACAAACCTCTCCCGATTCATCTCCAGTAGTAGCAGCCTCCGATCGCACCACTAACTCCGCCTCCGTTTCCCTCCTCAGCTGATATTAATATTTAAACATTCTCTATGATAAAAAATGTTTGTAAAAAATATTTTAATAACACGGTTTTGGCGGTTGTAGAGTTATAATGATGGTGTTCAAATACATAACATTAGATTAACGTTAGCCAGCTTATAGTATCTTGATTCAGTATGCTAGTATTTATTTAATATATAGTTTTTTTTTATTAATTGAGCAGCAGAAAAAAATATTCTTTATATTAGTCGTCCAATTAGTCATTAGATTAGTCGACTAATCGATAAAATAATCGCCCAACTAATCGTTTAGTTAATAATCGTTTACCCCAGCCCTACTTGTAGCCAACAAATCCCCTCAGTCTGCTGACACCGATGAAATGAGCTTTAAGTGTCAATTTACAGAAGACATCAGCATAATAAATGAGGTGAAAACAGGAACTATAGTCAGGAAATAGAGTGTTTTCAGCAGGTCTGTTAATATTGATGATCCTCAGACTATCAACACTCATTCAACAAGTCATTCAGGATCATCAGCAGATTGTTAGAAACACATTATTTGAGTCAGGATATAAAAGCCTATAAAACAACTACTATACTGAAAGCGAATACTATTATTTATCACAATATGACATGGATAAAACATAAATAATACAAAAACAATCCCTAATGATGACACTCATCTTCATAAACCATAGATATAAATAATTACAGCAGCATAATATTACCAAATTAATATTGCAAGTTTGATCTTATGATAGCTACATTAATCACTATAAAGTAGTTAGATCATTAAAAATAATAACAGAAACTGTTAATTATAATAAAACTTTTAAAAATAAAGAGCACCACAAAGCACCATTGTTCCAAAAGTAAACGCTTTTCATATTAGTATTGATTAATGTCTCACGTGGCTTATCATAGGCTCAATGTAAAGCATTCAGCATTATCTGTTCCATTATGACACTTGAGATCGATTCACATTAATCCCCCTCACAGATTTCACATTTTGACTTTTGACTTGACGAGACAATCACACAAACGAACACACACTCGCTCAAGGTCTGAATGAACTCCACATATTCTCCTCAGGCTCGCTGATGCTGCACTAAATGTGTATTTCAGGACGAAGACGCCAGAAAAGACGCACAAGTATCGCTGTGATCGATGAAAACAATACAGAAATGAGTCTGTCGCTTAATCAAACTGTATAAAGTGTGTGTGATGGGTGTGTAAATATAAGAAATACCGTGAAGTGCTCTCCTCACCTCAGAAGACTCGACGCTGAAACTCCCTCACAACACGATGACGTAGCTGGTGGATGGAGGTGTGTTTTAGTGACGCCATAAACGCATGCGCAATAGCGATCTCTGGTTACAATTCGCATGCGCTGGTCTTAAATTACATGTATGCTCAATATTATACTGATGATGTTCTAATCTAACCTGTGTGGTAATACTGTTAAATTGTTATAAGTAGTTATTTATATAATGCTTAAGTTATCAAAGTTTCACTCTACATAGGCTACACGCAAAATAGTTTATTTTAAATTTTAAATCACATGATTTTTAAACCTGAATTTGATAGATTAATAGCATGTCCTCACCGCAAGTATTATGTAGAGCATTTTAAAATAAATCCATTTTATTTTTTTAAGGTCATATGCTGTTTAATTTTTATTATATTTATTTATTTAAACATTTTAAAAGAAGAAAACAGTCATATAGAACTAATAAATAGAAGAAAAAAACCATGAAATAAAGAAGCCACAAGACAGGGGACAAATAAACGCTAACAAAACAAATATATATCAAAGGAAAAGATTAAAAGATTGACATATTTCAGTTGTTTTTAAAGCGTTCTTGTTACACGAGTCAGAGATAGATCAAAACAATAGTCACATTGAAGGATTTTTAAAGAATTTATTTGTAAATCAAGGTGGAAAATAAGTATTTCCCTCTAAATATGTTCCTAAGAGTAGTAACTCCTGCGCAGCGTTCAGTTCATGGGAAACTACCAAAGGTCGTGACCCCACTGAGATCTCCATCGTTGACAGATGAATGGGATTCTTGGAAAAAACTAAAGTAAGGCTTCAGTGTCTTTGCAAACAAAATGAAAGCTTTCCTTTTTACAGTTCGCTGTTTTTCAATCATTTACGAAGGATTGAAATCATGGAACTTGGATCTATCATGTTTATGTTTATGGATGAGTGAACGCATTCATGTTTTTAACCGTAGTTGCTAATGAGAGATATAAAGGAATGATGACGTTTCCTGAATTAATACTCATTGTGAACAGGCCTAGTGTGTGAATGAGAGTTTGACACTGTAGCTTGAAATGTTTCTTTTTTAATGTCCGTATAAAGAATCAACATGTAAACACACACACACACACACACACGGCGAGAGTTCGTGAATTGACGCGTCAGTCGCGAGTCTGCCGTTCGTCAGTCCTGATGGCGCTCGTTCCGGCCCGTTTGTCTGCGTCTCTGCGCTTTGGTGCTCTTGCCCTGACGGAGCTTGTTGTCTTGCGCTGATGACGACTTCCTGTCGCTCTGACGGCTTCTGCGCCTCATTTCCTTTTTGGACCTTCGTTTGTTGCTCTTCTGTTTAGTGAGGCTGTTGAGGGACGCCGTGAGGGTCTGGATCCTGCAAAATCACACACACACACACAATGAATCACTGAACAACAGACTCAAGTGAACAACAAACAGTGAGTCATTAAAGCGATTCACAGCACAGTCTGAATCTGATGAAGTGTGCGTCGTACATCGGTTGTTATATCAGAATAAAGCCCTTCAGGTGTGTGTGTGTGACCTCAGAATATGGAGATAGACTGTATATGCGTCAGTTTCACAAACGGCCTGAGATGAAGAAGAGATGAATATTTGCCTCAAGTGATGGGCTTGGCGAGAGAAATTATATTTGTATTATCGTATGTATAATTGTCTCTAGATTTTTGTACATAAAATTGAATATTTTTTGTGTACATGAATTTTTATGTATAAAAAATGTATATATACATTTTTACAAATTTATAAAAATATAAATATATTTATAAATGTATACATTTATATTTATATATAAATAAATATAAATTAATTTATATTTATTTATATATAAATATAATTCATTTAAATATAAATAAATGAGTTATATTTATTATTCATTTAAATATAAATGAATAATAAATATAATTCATTATAAATAAAATATATATATATATATATATATATATGTATATATAAATTTTGTATAAAAGTGACCAAAAAAACACTACAGCTCACCATCGAACTGCCTCCAAAACATTCGTACGCATGATTTTGCGTGAAGGTGCGTAAATTTGTTTTTATAAATCACGTCTTATGCGTGGGAAGTGGCGTTCGGCTCTTTCAGGGCCAGTTTTGAGCGACGCAACGGTAATAAACGAGGCCCCTGATCACCCTATTGTAATTGTACGTTTACTTTCCTATTTTTCTTAATCAATGGCAGCCCTATCAACAGAACATACGACAATGATGAAATTTGGCACACTTGTACCAATATTGGAGTCTCTAGGACCAACTCTATAGCGCCACCACCAGTTCAAACATTCAACATTGAAATGGGTCTAAGTTTTAAACTAGAGAAATGCATCTTAGTCACGATCAACATCTTACATTAAGCAGTAGTGGCCATTTTATTCAGTTTTTTTCTATACTCTTATTTTTCTTACATAAATTACCACAAATGATCTTTGGACAGAAATTACGTTTATTCAATAGTTCTGTAACGAGGTCGACCCAACATTGGTTCAGAGGCTGTACCAAAGTATGACCAATCGAAGCGAACGTTATGATCTGAGAGGCCATGCCTAATTTCAGGAATAGCGCCCCCTACAGGTCCTGATTTCTGGAAGTCTATTTTTCGGTGTCTATGGATTCCGAATTTTGCGCGGATTGGATCTCCCACTCGTCCGCCATTTTAAATCTTGTCATGATCTTTTAAATTATTTGACGTCTTCAAAAGCTAGGGAACAGCATGTCCTGAAGGTACACCGACGGCTTTATTCAGAGATGAACGTTACCCCTTCCGTATAAAGGTTATGATGATAATCACATGAATAATAATAATCAGCCGTACTTCTTGGACAGCAGTGGGTTTCCGGCGACCTTGGGGAGGGCTTTGGTCTTCTCCTCGTCGTTCTGCTCCTCTCTCTGCGGATCCAGCATTCTGCCGGCCGATAGGTCGAGGTCGCTGATGGTCGTCACGGTGACCGTGTGGTTGGGGTGATCGTACTGAACGCTCTCCGTCGTGGCCGTGATCACGTCCTCCAGCTCGTCCTCCTCATCTAAACACACACGGCACAAATTTTAACACGGGTATCGCGCGTAACTTTAATATTGACTCACTTTCTCCGAGAACCAATTTCACAAACAGTTTCCGTACAACAAAAGTTATTTTTCACGGATTAACGGTCAAAAACATGCAAAATAGTGTCTCTGTGAATATTGTAATGGTCGATTATGTCTTAAAGCGCACGTGACCGTCAGTGTATGATCCGCGCACTAGCTCTTAAAGGGACGGCGGCCAGATATGCGTCTAATGTTGTCGCCAAAACAACAAAAGACCGCTTTAATTGTAAGGATTAATATGCATCTAATTTAGTCAGGACTAAAAGACTGTCCGATTTATTTTACATGTGATTACTTCATGCAGTTTCTGTAGTATTTCTGAATACTAGTGTTAGACCTACCCCCAAAAAAAAACATACGCTCTCTTTATTCTATTGTATGTATTTATTTATGCTACTTATTTCAGTTTAATTAAAGTGTGTGTAAACTCTAAAGCATAAAATGACCCCATTGTAAAAATGCGAAAGTGAGCAAACACATTTAGGTGAGATAAATGTCATTGAACACACACTCACCCAGAGCCTGGCGGCGCTCCAGCAGCATCTTCAGATACTCTTTGTGTCTCTGGAGGAGGAAAGTCATCATCATCATCATCATCATCAAAACACACTCCTCATCCTCGCCTCCTCTCTGACGCACTTCTGCTCCTCATCACACACACACACCTCCTCTCTGACGCGCTTCTGCTCCTCCTTCAGTTTGCTCCTCATCTCCTCCAGTGCTGCTCTCCGGCGTTCCAGCTTCCTCTTGTGGAAACCCGTCAGGAAATCCCTAACACACACACACACACACACACACACACACACACACACACACACACACACACACACCTTTACACCACAACTCTGTGACATTACACACACACACCTTTACAACACAACTTTCTATGCTGTGGCAATGTGTGTGTATGTGTACGTTATTGTCTTGTTATGCATATGAGGGTATGTGTATGAATGCCACAGTATTTAATCCACGTAAATAAACACTGATTTGCTGTAGCTTAATTCGGTTTAAATCCTCTCACTGACTAAACTAAAGTACTGCATTAATGTCACTTACTGTCTGTCTTTATCATCAAACATCAGCACACATTTACGCTGCTTCTGTTTCGCTCCACTTTTAAACTTTGAGTTCTGCTTTAATTTGCTGTTTTTCGCCATTTTTCCCCCAGTTTCACTAAACACGTGTGACGCGTTGCTAAACTTCCGCTTCTGGGAAACTGCCGGAAGTGCCAAAATAAAGGTCCTCCACAGAACGCGCATCTAAAATTAGAGTCCTCCTGAAGAAAAGCTCTTCACGTTTGTGGTCATTTATTTTGTAGTAAAAATATATATTGTCGACTTCATCTCGTTCACACTAGTGATGGGGGAGACGAAGATTTGCAAAGCGTCGAATCAATTGATTGATTCAAATGATTCTTAGCGTTCGAATCGCAACACTCTGGCCACCCTTGTTGGTCAGAACAACCACAACTCATTCAAAACATGCATAAAACAGCTTTTACAAATCCACTAGAAATGTTCTATTGGAAGTAAAATCTATCCAATGCAATTGAATGATCATTTAACAAGATTAAATGTCAATTTTTTGTGTATTACATTTTCAGGGTTTTGTTTGTTGCATGGATGGCTGCGGTAAACAAGCTGAAGAGACTATTATTATTCATTTTAACTATCCTATTGTCACATGAAAACGTCTACAAATATATTAAACTGACGAGATCAGGTAAAACCGATGGAGCCTTCGATGTTTCGCCGCTGGGGGGCGATTTCAGTGAATCCGCATTGACTCGCAGTTTGATGCACGCTCCGAACCACTGATTCGATTCAAAAGATTCATATCAGTAGTTCATAAATTCTTGACAATTAAAATTGATTCTTGCAAATATGTCTCTAAATTATAAACGAATAATTAATGTGTAATAGTAAATAAATAATAATTAAGTGTGTTGGTTCGTTTTTTCCAGTCATTTCTATGCACCCAAATCTTATTTTTATCACTCATAGATGTGTCTCACACCGGTAATAAATCCACAAAGAATATATGTGGATTTTAGAAGTTTAACATTCAACGTTACCGATTTTACAAGTTATGACCGAAGCACTATTAAACTAAGAAAGTAACTGTCATGTTATATCAAATGCACACAGACACATGATGGTTCTTCAACGGCATTTGCTGTTTTATTACAAAAAAAGTCAAAAGACGTAGAAATTCAGACCAACACTTGAAATAAAGAGTGAATGTGAGAGAGAGATACCGGAATTACAGTTAGATATTAAAACACAACCTGAACCTTTAGATTAAATTAATAAAACACTACATAACACACACGCTAGTACTTATATTCCTTTTTACTCTATTTACAGTTCACTTCTTCTGTCGTGTGTGTGTGACCGTTACATCTTCATCATTATTACGTGTTATCATAATAAATGTCCCGCGGTCACATTTCCAAATATAAAAAAGAATAAAGACAAACTACTAAAGGAAAATAACAAAAACACGCCAGACACAAAATATGAAGTAATTACATATGATGAGGCATTAAAGTCGTCATGTGAAATAATTATATAAAACCCCGCACTAGCGCTCTATAAGACTTTGGTCTATGACACAGCTCTGTACAACATGTGTGTGTGTGTGTGTGTGTGTGTTCTGCTCATCACATGCCGTTTCTCTCCCTCATGAGTGTTTGTTCTTCGTGTACACAGTTTCTGCATTGCTGATTTGTCACTTGGATAATGTAATTTAGCATAATTATAATTATGATAATTAAACACTTACTTCTAAACTCTGTTTAAACTAAATATAACTGATTTCTATATGCATGGCTGAATATGAGCTAGAAAGGAGAGTGTGTGTGTGTGTGTGTGTGTGTGTGTGGGAGTGTTCCACATGAGTAATAACACTATAGTATATTATAATATTCTTCCTACTAAATACTACAGTGTTTCTGCTTGTTATCATCAGGTGTTCATCAATAATGACTCAATTAGTTTTTACTATAACATACTATAATATTATTTCATGTGTGTGTGTGTGTGTGCTGTCGCAGCGATGATGGCGTATCAGTTTCTGCTAGCAGTCCTGCCGGTCCCCCATTCTCTCCAGCGTGAGTGTGTGTGTGTGTGTGTTATGTCGCAGCGATGGTGGTGCCCCCCCCCAGGCGTATCAGTATCTGCTGGCAGTCCTGCAGTGAGCGCCGGTCCCCCACTCTCTCCAGCGTGCGCTTGGCTTCGGCCAGCAGTCGAGCTCGGTGACCCGGTGGCGTTAGCAGCGGCAGCGGCAGGTGACGACACGCTAGCAGGATAGCATGAGCTCTCTCGCGCTCGCCGCCGGCGGCTGCGGAACACACACAAACACACAGCGGGACGTCAACACAATCTACTACACATACAGCATCAGCTAACCTGTGAGTGTGTGTGTGTGTGAGTGTTTACCTGCTGTTGTGTAGTTGTGTGTTCTGTGTCGCAGCAGCTGGTGTGTGCGAGTGGGACTGGCTCCTGCCATCAGCCTGACCGTCGTCTCGTGCAGGAACAGCTGAAATCACACACACACATGTGTTTAAACATGCAGAGGTCAAACGCAGGGGTCAGCTGTAGGTTGGGTCAAAGGTCACCTTGTGCTGGGCCTGTCTGTGGGCTTGTCCAAGCTTCCGCAAAGAGCTCAGGTCCCTTTGGAATCCAGCCAGTTGGGATCCGGGGGCGGGGCCGGGATCTCCATTGGAGCCGCCCCCGCGCTGCCATAGGCTTGTTCTCAGAGTCAGGAGGAGGTCGCAAACCAGAAGCTCCACCCCCTGAAAGAGTGTCAGAGTGTTAAACTAGTAATCAAATAAAACTAAGATAATTATAACTTTAAAAACAATAATTACTATAATTACAAGAATGATAACTATTTTAACAACCACACCAACATATGAGAACAATAACTGTAACGATAACTAAAATGGTAAGAACAATAACTAAAATGAAAACAAAAACAATAAATATATTAACATCCACAAAAAAGGTGATAATTGTATAAAAAACTATAACGATAACTATAACAATAATCATAGCGATAAATATAACTATTGCAAACACTAATATAGTTATTTTCACTCTAACGATAGCTATAACGATAACTGTATTAGCGTCCACGCCAGCGGACGATAGCTATAATGATAACTATATTAGCGTTCACACCCGCGGACGATAGCTATAACGATAACTGTATTAGCGCCCACACCAGCGGACGATAGCTATAACGATAACTATATTAGCGTCCACGCCAGCGGACGATAGCTATAACGATAACTATATTAGCGTCCACACCAGCGGACGATAACTATAACGATAACTATATTAGTGTTCACACCAGCGGACGATAACTATAACGATAACTATATTAGTGTTCACACCAGCGGACGATAACTATAACGATAACTATATTAGTGTCCACACCAGCGGACGATAACTATAACGATAACTATATTAGTGTTCACACCAGCGGACGATAACTATAACGATAACTATATTAGTGTTCACACCAGCGGACGATAACTATAACGATAACTATATTAGTGTCCACACCAGCGGACGATAACTATAACGATAACTATATTAGTGTCCACACCAGCGGACGATAATATAACGATAACTATATTAGTGTTCACACCAGCGGACGATAACTATAACGATAACTATATTAGTGTCCACACCAGCGGACGATAATATAACGATAACTATATTAGTGTCCACACCAGCGGACGATAACTATAATGATAACTATAAAAAAAAGGGTCCACACCAGCGGACGATAACTATAACGATAACTATATTAGTGTCCACACCAGCGGACGATAACTATAACGATAACTATATTAGTGTTCACACCAGCGGACGATAACTATAACGATAACTATATTAGTGTTCACACCAGCAGACGATAACTATAACGATAACTGTATTAGCGTTCACACCAGCGGACGATAACTATAACGATAACTATATTAGTGTCCACACCAGCGGACGATAACTATAACGATAACTATATTAGTGTTCACACCAGCGGACGATAACTATAACGATAACTATATTAGTGTTCACACCAGCGGACGATAACTATAACGATAACTATATTAGTGTTCACACCAGCGGACGATAACTATAACGATAACTATATTAGTGTCCACACCAGCGGACGATAACTATAACGATAACTATATTAGTGTTCACACCAGCGGACGATAACTATAACGATAACTATATTAGCGTTCACACCAGCGGACGATAACTATAACGATAACTATATTAGTGTCCACACCAGCGGACGATAACTATAACGATAACTATATTAGTGTTCACACCAGCGGACGATAACTATAACGATAACTATATTAGTGTCCACACCAGCGGACGATAACTATAACGATAACTATATTAGTGTCCACACCAGCGGACGATAACTATAACGATAACTATATTAGTGTTCACACCAGCGGACGATAACTATAACGATAACTATATTAGTGTCCACACCAGCGGACGATAACTATAACGATAACTATATTAGTGTCCACACCAGCGGACGATAACTATAACGATAACTATATTAGTGTCCACACCAGCGGACGATAACTATAACGATAACTATATTAGTGTCCACACCAGCGGACGATAACTATAACGATAACTATATTAGTGTTCACACCAGCGGACGATAACTATAACGATAACTATATTAGTGTTCACACCAGCGGACGATAACTATAACGATAACTATATTAGTGTTCACACCAGCGGACGATAACTATAACGATAACTATATTAGTGTTCACACCAGCGGACGATAACTATAACGATAACTATATTAGTGTCCACACCAGCGGACGATAACTATAACGATAACTATATTAGTGTTCACACCAGCGGACGATAACTATAACGATAACTATATTAGTGTCCACACCAGCGGACGATAACTATAACGATAACTATATTAGTGTTCACACCAGCGGACGATAACTATAACGATAACTATATTAGTGTTCACACCAGCGGACGATAACTATAACGATAACTATATTAGTGTTCACACCAGCGGACGATAACTATAACGATAACTATATTAGTGTTCACACCAGCGGACGATAACTATAACGATAACTATATTAGTGTTCACACCAGCGGACGATAACTATAACGATAACTATATTAGTGTTCACACCAGCGGACGATAACTATAACGATAACTATATTAGTGTTCACACCAGCGGACGATAACTATAACGATAACTATATTAGTGTCCACACCAGCGGACGATAACTATAACGATAACTATATTAGTGTCCACACCAGCGGACGATAACTATAACGATAACTATATTAGTGTTCACACCAGCGGACGATAACTATAACGATAACTATATTAGTGTCCACACCAGCGGACGATAACTATAACGATAACTATATTAGTGTCCACACCAGCGGACGATAACTATAACGATAACTATATTAGTGTTCACACCAGCGGACGATAACTATAACGATAACTATATTAGTGTTCACACCAGCGGACGATAACTATAACGATAACTATATTAGTGTTCACACCAGCGGACGATAACTATAACGATAACTATATTAGTGTCCACACCAGCGGACGATAACTATAACGATAACTATATTAGTGTTCACACCAGCGGACGATAACTATAACGATAACTATATTAGTGTTCACACCAGCGGACGATAACTATAACGATAACTATATTAGTGTTCACACCAGCGGACGATAACTATAACGATAACTATATTAGTGTCCACACCAGCGGACGATAACTATAACGATAACTATATTAGTGTTCACACCAGCGGACGATAACTATAACGATAACTATATTAGTGTTCACACCAGCGGACGATAACTATAACGATAACTATATTAGTGTTCACACCAGCGGACGATAACTATAACGATAACTATATTAGTGTTCACACCAGCGGACGATAACTATAACGATAACTATATTAGTGTTCACACCAGCGGACGATAACTATAACGATAACTATATTAGTGTTCACACCAGCGGACGATAACTATAACGATAACTATATTAGTGTCCACACCAGCGGACGATAACTATAACGATAACTATATTAGTGTTCACACCAGCGGACGATAACTATAACGATAACTATATTAGTGTCCACACCAGCGGACGATAACTATAACGATAACTATATTAGTGTTCACACCAGCGGACGATAACTATAACGATAACTATATTAGTGTTCACACCAGCGGACGATAACTATAACGATAACTATATTAGTGTCCACACCAGCGGACGATAACTATAACGATAACTATATTAGTGTCCACACGGACGATAACTATAACGATAACTATATTAGTGTCCACACCAGCGGACGATAACTATAACGATAACTATATTAGTGTCCACACCAGCGGACGATAACTATAACGATAACTATATTAGTGTTCACACCAGCGGACGATAACTATAACGATAACTATATTAGTGTTCACACCAGCGGACGATAACTATAACGATAACTATATTAGTGTTCACACCAGCGGACGATAACTATAACGATAACTATATTAGTGTCCACACCAGCGGACGATAACTATAACGATAACTATATTAGTGTCCACACCAGCGGACGATAACTATAACGATAACTATATTAGTGTTCACACCAGCGGACGATAACTATAACGATAACTATATTAGTGTTCACACCAGCGGACGATAACTATAACGATAACTATATTAGTGTTCACACCAGCGGACGATAACTATAACGATAACTATATTAGTGTTCACACCAGCGGACGATAACTATAACGATAACTATATTAGTGTTCACACCAGCGGACGATAACTATAACGATAACTATATTAGTGTCCACACCAGCGGACGATAACTATAACGATAACTATATTAGTGTTCACACCAGCGGACGATAACTATAACGATAACTATATTAGTGTCCACACCAGCGGACGATAACTATAACGATAACTATATTAGTGTTCACACCAGCGGACGATAACTATAACGATAACTATATTAGTGTTCACACCAGCGGACGATAACTATAACGATAACTATATTAGTGTTCACACCAGCGGACGATAACTATAACGATAACTATATTAGTGTTCACACCAGCGGACGATAACTATAACGATAACTATATTAGTGTTCACACCAGCGGACGATAACTATAACGATAACTATATTAGTGTTCACACCAGCGGACGATAACTATAACGATAACTATATTAGTGTTCACACCAGCGGACGATAACTATAACGATAACTATATTAGTGTTCACACCAGCGGACGATAACTATAACGATAACTATATTAGTGTTCACACCAGCGGACGATAACTATAACGATAACTATATTAGTGTTCACACCAGCGGACGATAACTATAACGATAACTATATTAGTGTTCACACCAGCGGACGATAACTATAACGATAACTATATTAGTGTTCACACCAGCGGACGATAACTATAACGATAACTATATTAGTGTTCACACCAGCGGACGATAACTATAACGATAACTATATTAGTGTTCACACCAGCGGACGATAACTATAACGATAACTATATTAGTGTTCACACCAGCGGACGATAACTATAACGATAACTATATTAGTGTTCACACCAGCGGACGATAACTATAACGATAACTATATTAGTGTTCACACCAGCGGACGATAACTATAACGATAACTATATTAGTGTCCACACCAGCGGACGATAACTA